CAAATTCGCCCTTGATTCAATATATATATATATATATAAGTAGATTAATTAAAAATTTCTTTAATATTTTTTTTACTTCTTTTATTTTTACTAATGTTCTCAAACCCCAACCGCGACCAGCTGTCCAAAACACTTGTTGAGCAGGATAATTACCTAGAAGAAAAAAACAAAGACAACAATGATAAATAAAAATAAATTAAATTAATAAATTAACTTACGTTTTTGAAAGCGCTAAATATTAAAAAGTAAAATAAACAATAAAATTTTAATTTAATAAAATGTTTAAAATAAATATCTACCTGATTTTTACATTTGTCACCTAAATTAAAAGAAAAAAGGAAAAAAGAAAATTATATATAATCAAATGTAATTTTCAAACATTTATTTTAACAAGCAGAAAAAACAAACTCATACTCTCTTCTATTCTAAACATTACCCTTTAAGTTATATTTCAGAATATACTAGAATTATTAAAAGAGATGACTTTAACAGACTTGACACTATATATAATGTAAATCATTAAAGCTGGTATTATATTCTTTTTCTATATTCCAAGATTGACGCAATTTGACCATATTTTCATTTTAATTAATATAATCTCATATAATTTAGAAAAAGAATTATTAGTTATTAAGATTTGAAACTGCTTTCGTTTCATATTTCTAGACGTTGAAAATATTCTGCAAGAATATTTGTATATGTCTTGTAAAAGATTCTTGTTAACTTTAATAATATAGATGTTTGTACTATTGAATTTGCTGTCAGTTTTTTTAACCTTACATTACACCTTACAACAGTAAATTGGAAAAAAAAGGTATTAATAGGTTTTTTTTTGTTTGGAGCCATATATGAGTAAATTAAGCTTACAGTGACAAATTAATGACGATTGACAAGTGTCCTTTTTAAGAAAAAGAATTACCCTAGATATCTTTTTGTTCGTACAAAGTTCAAAAGTTTTCTGAGAATAAGCTATACTGTACTAATAAATAATACAGTTTAGAATCTTATAAATATATTTACTGGATAACAATTTATCTTTTTTTTTTTCATCTATTCATTATTTCATCAATCTTTCTTTTGTATTATATTATTACAATAAAAATTTAATGTGAAATTTCTGATTAATTGATTGTTATGAAATATATCTATTCGACTTGTATATATGTATTTGTTTAAAATTAATGAGAACATTAATCAAACAATAGAAACAAAAAAAAAACATCAGTAGAATATTAATTCACTTATTACTAATTATTCATCATGTCATCTACAGTAGAGTTCAACAAGGTGCAAACACAAATTGCGACAAAATTAAAGCTTTACACAAAGAAAAAAACAAATAGATGAATTCAAACATGAAAGTAATGCACTACTTTATTATGTTAACATATAATCATATTTCATATAATTCAAGTCTATAATTTTATAAATAGATAATCAGAACTAAAAGTATTTTTGATCTTAGTTTAAGACAAAAAAACAAATCTTATTGATAAATTTTGTAAAAAGAAAATCCTATTCTATAACTAACCGGCAGCACAAACATGTGGATGACATTCATATTTAAGCATTCGATTAAGACAATGTTCATCGGAACTACATGGATCTGGTTTATTTGGATCACAATCACAACGAGATAATTCTGCTAATGGTAAACGAAGAATTTGAGCTTCACCTACTGGTTTTAATGTCTTAAAAATAAAATAATAAATAAAATATATATTAAAATTTCATTTTCTACTTTAATATGTCTATAAGCAGGCATTTGTCCACTTTTATTAGCACTTTTATCAATTAATTTTGAACGTCCATTAATTGTTGAAATTTTTTCATGATCATTTGTAATTGATTCATCAGAATTCATATCTACAGATTCATCATCGCTTTCATCATCATCATCATCATCTTCAAATTCATCATATGCATCATCTAACGTCATTTCTTCAAGTTTAGTTGCTTCACCATAATTTTCAACTGGATTTGTTGCATAAAATTGTTTTAAACGATTATAAAGACGTTTAGCTTCGCGAAGACCTAAGAAATTTAAAACAAAAATAGAATAAAATTTCCTTATTTTTTTTTCGTTTCTTTTGATTTTTCAGAAAAAAAAAATTTTACCATCTTTAAAACTTTGTTCAGCATTATAAAAATCACGTGAATCTTTTGATTTAATACAACGATTTTCAAATGCTAAATAATGATGTTTATTAGCCCAAAAAAATTCTTTTGAACCAAAAAAATGTACAAGAAATTCTCCAACTGTACGTTCTTGTGCAAGTAAATTATCTGGTGCATGACGTTCATGTAATATTCGACTTGGCCAACATCTAAAACAAAATATGTAGTTTTTCTTGTCTTTTTCATTCATCAAAATTCTTTTTTTTTTTTGGTAATACCGAAATTTTCCCATTTTAATCCAACATATATCACCATATAACGGTTTTAAATTACTTAAACAAGAATCACATTTCCAATTTGTTGATTTTTCATCATTTTTAGTTGGTAAACATGATTGATGAATTGTTGTTGGACATTCAATACAAACAAAACATTCAGTTGTTCGAGTTGATTGCTCACATATGTAACAATATGGAGCAACACCTGGACGTACTGGTTTTCGTTCAATTGGAAGATGAACTGGACAACAAAGTGATGATGAATATGATATGGATAGAGAACCAGCTGGTAGACAACGTTCATGACCATGATAAGCTGTTGGGCAATACAAACATGTAAACAGATGACCTAGAAAATAATATTTAAGCAATAGAAAATTTTTATATAAATAAATTATTGATTATAGATATGCAAAATTATCCTATCCTATTCTGCAAGGTACGGTAGATGTTAGAAAATTTCTCTCAATTAGGGTACATGCTACAATGAGAATAAGACGAAATACAAAAAAAAAAGGAGTGATGTGAATTTAATTATAATCTTGATTCTCTAAACTTTAATCGAAAGATAAATATATCGAAAACTAAAAATATTGAAAAATTTGAGTTAAAAATTAGAACTAGCGGAAGATATCCGTTCGAAAAAAATATTATTCATCAAGATATCATTAGCACATAATTAACGTTGGATTATGTTCTTGTAGGTATGGAAATAAGTATCTAGATCTTATCTTCTTCCGGCTTACACCCACATCTATTCACATTCTTATTAGTTTGTCTTTGCTTGCGGCAAAAAAAAACTATAATCTAGCACGAAACTTAATTAATGTCGATCAACTTATTTATCGTGAACTTTTTTAATTGTCTTTCATTCATACTTTTTTTCGAATAAATAAATTTGATTCAATTTAAACTGCTCATCTTTCTATATATTTTCATTAAAAAAAATCTCCGCCGGCATTTTTTACTTTCAACTAAAGTTGAGATTATCTATAATCTTGAATATGATTCTTATGCATGAGAAAAAATTCTTAGTGATATAAGTTTCTAAGTGCGTTTACATACCAATCATCAGTGGATTACGATCACGGAGATAAAAAATTTGTCAGTAGTTTGTAATGGTGTTCTCAGACAAAAAAAAGTGAACTCTAGCGAAAAACTAAAAGAAGCTTGAAATATGAGAAAATATCAATGTATTTTTGAACAAGAAAGCTTAACTATCTTTGATTCTTCATAAAGTGTTAATAAACATACGATTATTTGTCTTATATTCTTATCAATCGGAAAATTCTGCCGTGCTTTTTTTTATTACTACAGGCAGAATCCAATAGATTCTGATCTTCTGATTATGATATTTGAATAAATTTCCGAGAATATGTGATTATACTCAGATTTAACAGATATGTTAAATTTTTAATAGATTTACATAGAAGATTTATTTTTCAGGTAAATCAAATCTTCAAATATAAACGATTGTTCGATTCTATTTATACTCCAGTCAAGAATGAAGCAATGAATTTAATGATCTAGTATATCATTCTCAATAAATTTTTTTTGTCAATATTCATGATAGTTGTGTTGTATAAAGAAAAGAATTTATCTCAAAAAAAAAAATGTCCTTCTATGTCTAGTCACAGTTAAATCCAATTTCAATTCTTAAATGTACATAAACCTGAAATATTGATTTTCACTTTTAATATGAAATATAATACATAAAAATACCTATATTATCGTTAGGTCGTTTATGTAAATGACAAGTTGCACAAACATGAAGAGGACAATAATATACACCCGATGGTAAAGTTGTAGTTAAATTCGAATTCATTAAACATGATGAATGATATATTCGATTACATTGATTAAATCCACATTTTAATTCATTATCAATAATTAATTGTTGACATAAACTACATATTAAACGATCTTAAATTAAAAGAAAAAAAGAACAGAAAAAAAAAACATAAAATTTATTTTTTCAAATAAATCATACTTGCTGAACATTCGGAACAAATTAAAGTTTGTTGTTCATCAAAAATACCAGCACATTCACGATGAAAATAATATCGACATTTGCCTTGACATTGATATGTATATGATGAAAGACCACATATATGACAAGCAGGATTATATGCTATTTCTTGTTCTTCCCCATCACTTTCATACTAACAAAAAAAAAAAATAATTATTCATTTTATTTTATTTTATTTTTTTTAATAAATTTACTTCTTCATCGTCATCATCATCATCATCATCATCCATTGGCAAACTATCCATAGCTGGTGTTTCATATTCCATAGATAAATTCACATCTGATGTTTGTATTTTCTATAAACAAAAAAAAATGAATAATATTTTATATAAATAACGAAAATATTTTTGTTATTCTTGTTTGTTACATTTCCATTTGATAATTCATTCGTAGTAGCCATTGATATTGATGAATCGATAGATGTACGATGAATAGACATCTGAAAAGTTTAATAAATAATTAAGTTTTTAAAGCTGATTTAATTTAATAATAAGAATAAGAATAAGTTCAACTTAGAAAACTACAGCATTAAACTAAAATCGAATATAAATAATGTTTATTTTATAAATTAAATTTTAAACGAGTAATCCATCTTTAACTTTCGTTGCTTCATCTTTGCCTTTCAGAAGTTCAATAAGTTTCAATGCAAAAACCATAGATGTACCAGGTCCTTGACTTGTAACCAAATGATGTTCTTTTTCTTCAGCACCTTAAAATATAACAAAAAAAAAACTAAATTTCTCTCTATACATATACACCAGTGAATGAAAGTTTCCGCCTCAGCCGATCTCGGCCACCCTATGTATTGGAGGCTTGGAAATTTGTATTGATGCACTTCAACAAGAATTTAGAGCATTGACATTGTAGCGCCGTTATCGCTTAATTATAAAGAGAATTACGACTGATAGCATCTATTTTTGTTGTCAACCGCATAATCTCGAAAAGAAAGAGTATTGTGTGTCAGTTGACTCCTCAATATAAAATGTTATGTCTCAGGTATTTACATTACTAATTTCATTGAAGTTCATCAATCCTTTCAAAGATTATACGCATTTTACTGTAATCATTATTGTAAGGAGAAACCATCTACTGCCTTTTGAAGGTCGATAATTCAGTGAGAGTACAATGAAACGAGTTCAAACTTTTTGAGAAACTTCCTCTACAGTTAGACATTATTATTCGCAAGTTTCAGAAGTGAATCTTGCACTAATAAGAAATGGAACATAGATGATAAATCTTGTTATTTTCAATTACATGTAAAAATATTAAGAATTAATCATATTTTTAATAAGAAACAGCGCAAAAACTCACTATGTAATTACACATACAGTGGCCGATATCGGCTAGAGCGGAGGCTTTTATCCACTAATGTAATACAATAAAGAAGTGTCATATTCTTTTTACCTTTTATTGTATGCGTGCTATGACAAACGGCATGATCAGGTGTATCTAATTTATATGGTTCACCATCAGTAAATTCTTTACGTACAGTTGGATAACATGTTATAGTATGTTTATGATCGATACCAATTTTATGTGATAATAATGCTCGTGGTCCAGCACAAATAGCAGCAACTATTTTACCATCTTGATAATGTTTTGTTAGAATTTGTCCAACTTCAGCATTTGCTGCCATTGCTTTTGATCCTATATTATAAATAAACTTATATGATTAAGATATTATTATTACAAGAAAAAGAAAAATTCTTTCTCTTTGAAAAAAATTTGTTTTATTAATATACAAATGAAATTTAGAAAAAAAAATATGTAAAAGAAAAATTTACTTTATTAAGTCATTTCTAATGATATATTCATAGAACTATGGATTAAAGTTTTTTGTTTAGAAAAATTACTTAAATCATATTACAAAATGATTTTACTAACCATCATTACCACCAGGTATAACAACACAATCATATTGATTATTTTTAATATCATCAATTGATTTATCCGGTAAAATACGAACATTTCGACTACATTTTACAGATTCATGACCATTCTTTTCAATTGAAACAACATCAACTTCAATTTCAGCTCTTCGTAGAACTAGGAAAGAAAAATTATCATTATTAAAATTTAACAATCAAAATTGTTTAATGCAAACCATCTATTGTTGTTACTGCTTCAATTTCTTCGCTACCATTAGCAATAAAAACAAGTGTTTTTTTTGTCATCTAGAAAAATAAATTATATTGTTAAATTTTTCTTAAAAATTATAAATGCTTGAGTATGTATAATTAAAAAACAAAGCAATATTTATTTATTTTTTAAAAAAGTATATCTTCTCGAAGTTACTTGGCTTTTGATAAACCATCAAGCGTTTCAACTATTTCTAATACAAATGTTGTTCTTAGCTGTTGACTAGTTAATATTTCATATTAACTATCATCAATTTTTAATTCGTAATAATAAATTGATTGATCACCAATCTTTAAGAAAATATTAATCAAAATTCAACTTTATTTTTAATTATTTTTACTTATATTATTATTTTCTTTGAGATATTCAGGATAAGCTATAATAGTTGCAATTTTTATAATAATTTTATGAGCTTGAAAAGCTTGTGAACTTTTCAAGAATAAAGAAAATTATTTCTTAGAATTCATGTCAGCATAAATATCAGCAACAAATTTTCCTATTTGTATAATATTGTAGAAGGAAATTTCCAACCGCTACATTTTTTCTTCATGAACATTTGAACTTTTATCATCACCAGATATAATGATTATATTTTGTGCACATTTTAATAGATCATGATTGCTTTTTATTGCATTCATTGTTACTTTAATATGTGTACAACAGTGGACCTTAGAAAAAAAAAATAATCAAATTTATTAATTGAAATTTTTGTATGTATATTGACAATGGTAACAAAATTTACTGTCTTTACTTTCATTTGTTAATAAAATTGTTCATTGTAACCATGATTTTTTTCTTTGAAAGAAATGAAGTTCAATGATATTATATACAAAGAGAAAAAAATAATAAGAAGAATGAGTCATATACTTGACCAATCGTTAAAATTTAACAGCGCCAGTTGCATTTGTCTGTCAAAAATTTTTTCTTTGCTCATAATAAAACAAAACAATTCGATTGACAGAAATTCAACTGATTATATCATATTCTAATAAACATGCAAACGATTTTTATTGAAGAAAATATTAAACATGAACATATAATAAATATCTGTAAATTAATTGATTCTAATACTTGTAAATCATTAGAATTTCGTCGATGTACAATCACAGATTCGTAATAAAGATATTTTTTTTTCTTTTTTTTGTTTTTCGAATACTTATTTGTTTTGTTATATTATACTTTATTTATGTAGTGACTTTGATGAATTAATGAAAAGTTTATCAAAGAATGGTGAATCAATGGTTTCACTTATTTTTAATATTCAAATGATCAATGAAAAAACACGTTTTAAAAAATTTGTTCAAATGCTATCAAATTGTTCAAATCTTATTAATTTACGGTAATATTAAAAGAAATTTTTCTAGATAAAAAAAATACGTTGTCTTAATAGAGTTCATGGTAATGATATAGACGATGATATGTTTTCTAAACTTTATTCAATTTTACATGAAAATTGTTCAAAATTAACTTTATTAGATGTTGGAGATAATAAATTAACAAATAAATCGATCGCTAATATATGTTCATTAATTATTCCTGATGAAAATAAAACAGGTTTTTTTTTCAAATTTTAAATAAAGACAAAAAAAAGAGAATGTTATTACTCTATTCCTTATTTAGGTTTAGAAGAATTAATTTTAAGTGCTAATCGATTGATTACAAATGCTGGTTGGGCAGAACTTTTTTTTTCAATTGCTTTTAGTTCTCGAATTCGTCGATTAGCATTTGATTATAATATATTTGATAATACAATTCTAGCAATGCTTACCATGCTTATTGCATCAAGGTAGTTTTTGAAAATTTAAGTTTATATTATTTTTATTTTTATTTTCATTAGTCGAACATTAACTTATCTAGATTTAGAATGTTGTAATTTAACAGAATTTGCTGGACAATTATTACTTTCTCTATTTACAAAATATCCAGTAAAACTCGAAGAAATTTATCTTGATAAAAATCCATCTATTCTTGATTCAACTCGTAGATTAATAAATGAATGTCTTAGTTTAAAATCAAGACAAAATTCTATTTCAAGTCAACAACCATTATCTTATCATTTATCAGTTAATGATGATTCAACAAGTACAAATAGTACGATAAATAAAAAAATTTCACCAATAAAATTAAAAAAGAAAAAGAAAAAATCTAATTTAAATGAATCTCCAAAAAGTAGTATTAAAGAAGAAACAAAACCTTTTCGTGTTAATCAAATAAAACAATCAGAAAAGTCAATTGAAATCAAAAAAAAAGAACAAGAACAAGAAGATATCGAAGAACTTTTACCAGTTGAAATTCAACCATATGGTACTGTAGGACGTATGCTTTATTGGCATCGAGTATAATCATTACTCTATTCAGATAATTGCTTTGCTTTTATACTTACAATTAACAACCGTCCAGCACTCTCATTCTTTTTAATTGCATGTGCTTGTGAAATATTAGTTCTAATAAAATAAATTTAGTAAAAAAAAAATTTATCAACTTAAAGTAATAAAGGCTTTCTAGAATTTTTTTCATATAAATGATTCGAAGACATGAATTAAACATCTTTTGTCAGATTAATAATAGTTTTTTTCCGCAATATCAATAACACTATGAATAAGATCTGAATATTTAATATATTCTGCAGATTCGTCCTGAAATTTATATTGATTTGATTTAAATTTTCATGATTCTTTTTTGGATCATATCCATCTGTGCAATTTGATAAAATTAATTATAAATAATGTTATCGTCTATTTGTTTTTCATTGACGTCTGATAAACTTTCGTTTTTGTTTTTTCATTGTTTTCAGTTTATCTTTTTCATTAAATATTTACTTTGAAAATATATTTTGATAATATATTCTGTTTATAAATTCATAAATAGAATTATTTTTAATAGTTTTCAATTGTTTCCATACTGTTCTTTAAATAAATCTATATGTATAATAACTATAATGATATATTCTTAATTTATAATTTCAAATAAATTTTATTCCAATTGTCTGAGAAACTTATTTGAACAAGACTTCATCGTAGATGCATATAAAAATCATGAAAATGGTACACAATAATTCGTGAAAATTATATTCAGTTTTAAAAATGAAAAAAAACTGATTATTGATTAAAGAATTTAATAATCAATTTTGAATGAAAAAAAAATATCATCATAAAAATGTTAAAAATGCCTTGAGATCTCAAGGACAGATAAATATTACTTATAATTCATCTGTTACATATGACTCTATTGAGTAATAATTCAATTCTTTAACGTGCAATGTCATTATATTAAGGCAAACTATCAAATTAATCTTCTTTACATTGACCATTCATAAAAAACCTTCAAGGTCATTTTTACAATAATAGATCCTGTCGTACTACTATGGTAAGCAGAAGAAAAAAAAAGAACGTTCGACGAACCGCGTGACTGATGAATAAACATATAGAATTTTTAGCTTTGTCGTCAACCTTGATTTTACTCGATACGATAACAATATGATTCATATATTACACATATAAGTTTACATCATCCTTGTACTCAATAAAATACGTTGTCTTTTGTACTTTTTATCAAACAAATCTGACTCATCCAAGTAATTTACTTGTTTGACCTACATCGCTAACATAAAAAAATAATTTTACATTATTTCTAAAAAAATATTGATGTAAAAATATCTTTTTCTTTTTCTTTGGAATGCTAATTTTATATTGTTTAATTTCTATTTTTTGCTCTCTGCATAGATGTGAATAAGTAAAAAGTTTTATTTCGTTCTTCTGTTAAAGTTGATCACATGTCTCATTACGACATAATCCACGTGATTTCAATCTTCATACTCTTTACTTCATATTCAAGAATGTATGCATTAAAAAAAAATATTTTATTTGTTCTGTTTTCTTTTTAGGTTAGATTTTATTTATTTATATGAATAAATACGCTGGAATATTAAGAAAACAAAAGTTGCAAGAACAAACAGAATTACATGTGTGTGTATATATATCTGAGATATAGATATTATAAGTTCAAGGATATATTATTTACAAAGATTCTTTGTGTGCTTCAGCTTTAGCTTTATGACCCTTTTCTTCAATTTTGTCGCCAACAGCTGAAAAACCAGCTCCAACACGTTCACCGATTGTATTATCCGAATCTTTTACTTTTTCCTTATTAGCTTCATACGATGCTCCACTAGTTACTTCTACAATAAAAAACAAAAAAAAATGCATTTTTAGTCATTGTATAGAAATAAAAATAATAACAAACCAGAAACTTTTTCAGCAACATAATGATAAGCATTCGAGATGGTATCACCAATTTGACCAATGACACCTTTTTCTTCGGCAATTTCTTTATGTCCTTCTTTCTTTGCTTCATGAGACTTTTCGTCGACTAAATTAAATTTTATATTAGTTTATTTTATTTTAAATAAATATACAAATACTTTTATCTCCTACGGCATTAACACCATGACTAATTCGACTACTTGCTGATAAATTATCATTTTTAGCTGCTTCTTTATTTGCTTCATATGAAGCACCGCTTGATACTTCTAAAAACAAAATTATTTATATATTTATTGATAAATATAGAAATATATTTTTTCTTACCTTTCACTTTTTCTACAGCAGCTTGACCAGCTTGTTTAATGTTTTCCATGATTGTTATTTTTGTTTAGCGTTTGTAAGAAAAGAGAATGACGAGAGTTGCTTTAGTATGTAAAATGAAGGACATAGTATTGTTGCTCGTCTATATATATCACTCTCTGATCTCTTTTTCTCTCTCTTTTTCTTTCTCTTTCTCTCCCTCTCTCTCTCTATGATAAAAAAAGGAACGAATGAGAAAAAAAGAGACTACACATTCAACTGAATAATAATAAATAGTGCGTCGGGCAGATACACGAGAAGACACGTGCAGGGTTACACATAGTGCAAAGGCAGTTGCTTCGTTTGCTGACGTAGAATAAATAGAAAGAAAGGAAGAACGAAAGAAAAAAAACCCTACGCCAATCATTAGTCAAGATTAGTTGTATCATATGGATGAAATGGTTGTGTAACAG